GCGCCCACCCCCAGGCGCGGAGAGGACAGCGGCGCTCCAGCCCACCCCCACACATCTGGTCTAAGGCTACGGGGATAGGGGTGACTTGGGTTTCAAGGGGCCCATTAGGGAGCGATGATCTCAGCCCACGCAGCCCGAGGGCAGACGAGTGCGGCTTGCAGCATAGGCCAGCTTGCAGCATAGGCCGGCAAGAGGCAGGCAGGCGGAGGGACAGACAGGCAAACATGCGTGTGGTGCCCTGACCGTGCGTGCGGCAGCCCCTGGCCCAACTCCCAGCTCCCAGACTCCCCAGCTAGGGCCTCCGCCCTCTACTCTCGGCTAGGGATGAAGGTACCGAGGCTGCACCAGAAGGGCAGGTCAACCCGGACATCCAATCCCACCCTGCCTGCAGCCCAGATGTCCTCGGCCCATCACCTACCTTCTGCGGTTTGCTTTGCGCGGGCTGGGCCCTAGAGGAGAAGGGGAAGGGGTTGATGGTGGGCCAGGCCCAAGGGCTCCCCACCCACCAGGCCGGCTCAGTGCCCGCATACCTGCTAAGACCCAAGCTGAGATGCTCCCCGCAGGCACGTATCTTGTTCTGAGCTTCAATGTGTGTGAGGCCCCCTGCATTCTCTCCATCTATGCTCAGCACCCAGTCGCCCACCGCCACACCGGCCTGCGCAGCTTTACCTCCAGGAGTGAGCTATGGAGAGATGCAGGGTTATGGAGGCCCAAGACTGCAGACCAGACTCTGGCCAACAGTAGCCAACCCTGCCCTTCCTAAGCTGCCCCACTTGCAGAAACCAGAGGCCTCTACGTTCAACCTACTTCCGGGCAACTGCTGGATACTAAAGTCATCTGGGAGGGGGTGGGGCTCACCTGAGCTTCACCATCACCCCAATTACCCTTAGTTCTTTGTTCACCTCCATGGACCCTCCCCACAGTCCAGAAACTGCTAGGACATCAACACACAGCCACCCTCAGGCTAAAACCCAAGCTTCTCAGCTTCAACAGCAGCCTTCTGAGGCCCCTGCTGGGCTCTTGCACCCACTAAACATGCCCTCTGGCTTGCGCATGCGGCAAGTTCCTCCCTGACCACTGCTGGGTGCTCTCATTGACCTCTGATACTCCTAGCACCCTGTCCTAGGGTTATCTGCAGGGATCTACTAGGACCTAGGATCTACCAGGTCCCATCACCTCTAGGTTCCCTGTGATTAGTGCCTGAATGAGGCCTCAGGTGTCAGCTGGGGCTTCACACACTATAAATATGGGTGTTACCCCCCAAGTCCTTGATTGCCACATCACCCTCTCCTCACCATCCTTTAGGTTCTGGGCTGCAAATCCCTGGTTCCTGTGGCAAATGAGGAGCAACAGGAGGCTGGAAGGAATGGTCACTACCAGCATGGGCTGAAACCACCAGGGATGACTTCTGGGAAGTGGTGGGCTTTGGTGAAAGGAGGGTGGGATAAGCTGCCTAGGGTGTAAAAGAGTCCGTTTATGAAGACCTCAAATGCTGGAAGGAACCAGGACTTGGCCCTGAAGTTAGGAGGAACCACTAGCAGTATTGAGGCCCGGGTTTGGATATTTAAGGCCTGACTGAGGTGACCCTGAAGAACCCAGCTGGGCCCTTCCAGCCTTCTAGCCTAGTAGCAGGAAGATGGGGAGGAGTGGGAGGCTGCTGTTGATAAGTCTAAGCCCACTGGGCTGTCCGGTCAGCTGGCAAGGGGCCTGGCACTGAACAGGCTTGTGGGGAAGTGCTGGAAGGCAGACTCACACTCCCGTGCTGGGGAGGTGTGCAGGGTACAGGAGGTTCCTCGGGTGGCCCGATGCACAGACTGAGTTGAGTCAGGGAGAGAAGGGGTAAGAGGTTCCAGAGAGATGGTAGCGGGACCAGACGCAGAGACTGATGGCACTAGGGCAAGAAGGGAGAGCTGGGTTTAATGGCTCTTTTTCATGTTTGGGAGGTTAGAAGGGTAAGAGAGCTGGGTGGCCCTTCCTTCATCTGCTAAATAGTAAGAACAGGAGCTTAAGGTTTATTGAGTACCTAGCATTGCCACATGCTGAGTTCTCCAACAACCCTGTGGAGAAGAGTCTGCAAATATACCCATTTTACACAGGGGAAAACAGAAGTTAAGTAACTTGCCTCAACTCGCCTAGCTGGCAACTCAAGAGGCAGGGCCAGGACACTGACCCTAAGGCTCTGCTGTAAGAGGTCCCATCTGCTGAGGGCTGGGGCCTCATTCAGAAGTCAGCCCTCTGGCTAGAAAGACTCCCTGACCCCCTGGCTGGGTTTGGGGCTTGGATACCCAACTTACCTCTAGTTCAACCCAGCCCCTTACAATGGGAATGGGGAGGCGACACCCTTGAGGGGAAGTGACTTACTCAAGGTCACGATGAGTCAGTAGAAGGGAAACCTGGTTCAGCCAGCTCCCTACCCACCCGGCTGGCTCCTGGGAGGCATGGGCTAAGCCTGAGGTGGGAGTCTGGGGTGGGCAAGAGCAGCTGGCTCCTGGAGATGGGGTGGGGAGCTGGGGACCACTTCCTTCCCCAGGGTGAGGAGGACAGGAAGCACAGGAGGGACAGGGGAGTGGTCAGGGAGGTGGAGACAGAGGCGTAAGAGAGCTGGTGGTGGGGAGGTCTGGAGAGAGAAGCAAGGAGGCCCAAGGGAGCAAGGAGGGGAAAAGCCAGGGGGCTGGACACTGCATGGGGTGGGGGGTGAGTCAGCCTGAGGGCTCCACTGAGCAGCCCAACCCCCAAGTCCCAGACGTTACCTCATCTCCCAGGCCTGGGCCCACAGCCAGCCCTAGCCCCTCCCTCCTCCATCCAAGCTGGGGTCAGGGGAGAGGGAGGAGGCCCGCCCAGCTCAGAAAAGACCACCCCACACATCCACCCACCAGAGCCTGGGTCCAGCTCCAGGGCTGGGCTCCACTGGTGGCCCCACCCACACGCTGGGACTGCTGACAAGCAAGCCTGGGCTCCTACTGCCCCCTACAGGCCACATCTGAAAGTCCATCCCCCAGGCTTCCTTGCTGCCTCTCTCCACCAACGAAGAAACTGAGGCTCAGAGGCCAGTCAAGGCCTCGGGCTCCCCCCCCCCAACTGGCCAGCACTCGCTAGGGAGCGGGGTATAGGACAGGCTTCTAGGGCTGGCCAGGCTTGAGGACTGTGTACAGGGTGGGTGTACGTGGTGGGGGACCACTGCCCTTGGCTACGCTGCTGGTAGAGCAGCTTCCAGGGAACCCTGTGGACCGGTCCCTGGGAACAGTGACTGCCTGCCCTGGCCAAGCCCAACTCTGACAGACTCCGCCTTGGGGGCCCCCTCAAGCTGGGCCGTGCCTGGACAACGCTTTGGCCCCCTCCAGGCTTTGCTTGCCCTGGGCTTCCTGCCAATAGCTGCCTGCCCACCAGGAGCCTGGGTGGACCTCTATTGACAAGAGGATATGGGGGCAGGAAGTCCCCGCCCCCTCCTGACCCCCAGGCCACAGTCAAAGGCACCAGCCCCAGCACTGGCCTCACCCTCTCAGGGCAGGCGGTTTGTTCTGTGTCCCATAACTGACTCGACAGCTGGAGCCACAGCCCAGTGGTGATCAGCTGAGGGGCCACTGATGGGGTTCAGGGGTCCAGGTCTAGGCCAGTCTTTTTCAGCTCTGCAGACTCCAGCCACCAGTTGGCCATCCCAGCGTGGGGCTGCATTCTTGGGCTTATAAGGCAATCCCCCGCCACAGGGAGGAGCCAGCCCCCAGCTCCACCCCCACCAGGACAGGCTCTCAGGAGCTGAAGTCAGAGCCCAAGAGACCCGGCCCAACCCCTCCTTAGGGTTAAAGGCCACTGAATGGGACCAGTGGATGGGACGAAGGTCCTCACATAGGCTGGGGAGAGACACTCGCCCTCCTACCCACAAAAACTGCAGGCCATCCCTGTGCCTGAATTCCAGTCCCTGCTTGGCCATGGAATCGCGGAATGAGCCCCTTCACCTCTGAGTTCTTAGTTACTTCATCTGGAAAAACAGGATGACAGCTGCTATTCCCTGGGTGGCAATGAAGTGAAGTGAGATCCTGCAGTCAGATCACCCTGCCTGGAGCCCAGCTCCAAGCACTGCTCCCTCAAGCAGCTTAGAAACTTCCTGGAGACCTCAGGCTCCCTTCCTGCAGAATGGGCATCACTCTGGGCCTCTGAGGTGGCCCCAGGAGCTTCGTGGAATGGCATCAGGTACAGTACAGAGTTGGGAAAGTGTGGGTGCTCTTCTCCCAATATCTACCTAGTTGGGAGTTCTTGTAGCAGGTGCCCATGACATTACTGGACCTGGACACCTCCTGGCCTATTAGCCCTGGCTCACTCCTGCTCAGACTCTTCCCCTCACCCTCTGGAGATGTGAGCACCCAAAGACTCCTAGGGGGAGCCCCTCCCTCAACCTAGGCTCACCCGAGAGATGGAGAGGGGCACATTGAAGTCCTTGCCCCCCTGCAGCCGGAAGCCCCAAGGTGCTGGCCCCTCCAGCACCACCTTGAAGGAATCCATGGTGCAGCTCCTGGGAGGAGAAAAAAGGTGAGTGTCTGGCATGGTAGATGCACAGGCAGGCCCAGCTCTGGACACTAGCCTTGGACTAGTGCCAGGCAGACACTGGCAGACACTGGCAGACACTGAGCACACCCAGGGCAAGGGTAGGCGAGCACCTTGTTAGGTTTGGCTGGGCTGCTGGTTGGCAGACCTCACTTTGGAAAGACAGGGGCAACCAATCTCCCTTCCCCAAGGGACTGGGAGAATGAGGGGAGCCCTCTTTCAGTCTTGAGGTTCTTTTCATCCAATAGTGGACCACAGGGCTAATTTGGTAAGGCCTCCCCCCAAGCCAGCCTTGAGCCTCGGACTGGCCTGCAAGGCCAGTCCGGGGCCGGCGCTCCTCTTCCCCGCCCCCAGGTCCCGACAGGCAGGCCGCGGCTGGAGCCTGCTCGGACTATATAAGGCGTGTAAGCTGACACTGTGCCGGAGAGCCAGCGGAGAGAGCATACAGGGGCTCGGGACGCGAGGGGGAGGGGTGGGGAGGGAGGCGGCTGGAGTGGGTCCTAGCCTTTCCAGGACCGGACGAAGCTGCTGGAGCCAGGACGGGACCCCTGGGTGCTGGGGGAGATGGGCGGGGTCGCGGCCCCCGCGGAGATCAGTGGGGACTGCGACCCCAAAGCGTGGCCAGGAAGCGGATTCATACTGGAGCCCAGTGAGGGTGATGCCTCCCACACAAGCCTGTTACCATCCCGACATGACTCAGTTTCCCCACCGTCCCCCGCCCGAGCCCCGTGCATTGGCCGAGTCCCGGGCGCAGGAAGCAGCGCAGGCGCCAACCGGCCCCGCCACAGCCGGCTTTGCCGCAGGAAGGCGGGGGCGGGGGTAGGGGCTCAGGCTCGCCGGAAAAAGCGCAGAGCTGGCTACGACCCCCAGTGCCCTCTGTGGTGCCCAGCAGACCTCTGCCCCCGGCCTGGTCCAGCCCGAGACGCCCCGTGCTGTTGCCTGTACCTGCTCGGCCCCGCCGGGGCGCTGCTCGGCGGCGGAATCCAAGGAGCCGCGCTGGGATCCGCCGCCCGAGTTCTGACCCCGCCCCCGCGGCCGCCGTCCGCTTTGAGACCGCGAAAGGGGGCGGAGCCATATGCCACGCCCCTTAAAGCCTCGGCCACGAGCTGCCTCCTGGTAGGTGAGAAGCCCCGCCCAATCCTTCTGCCGCGCCCAATCACGAAGTCCCATCTCGCTTTGGGCTAGAAGGCACGGCCCTCCCCGGTCCCCTTGGTGGGGCGGGGCCTGGGCGGGGCCTGGGCGGGGCCTGGGATGGGGGACGCCTCGCCTGGGAGCCGAACGCGCCGCTTGCCCAGCTGCTTGCCTGGCCCCTTGCGCCTCCCGCTGGCCGAATGAAAAGAAAGCAGCTTTGGAAACCAGACACGAGTTGGCTCTGAACCTTAGTTTCCAACTCGGTAAAATGGGACAATAATACTCGCCTTTCAGGGCCTCCGTAAATATAGGCATAGAGCACAGCCATTAGTGGCTCTAGAATTTCTAAATCCGACGGACTTGATCGGGAGTGGGGAGCGGGCGTTAGCTGAGGGCGGCACAGGAGAGCTTGAAGTTAAGTTTGCGGAACGCTCAGACGAAGGCAGAAAATAATGGCAGAAGCGGACGGCGGTGGAAGGGCCCTTGGCCCGGCCCCGAGCCTGACCTGTGGGCCGTGCCCTCACTCCTACCCCCATCCCCTCCAGTCAGCCGCCCGTAGCCCTCCCACCCTATCTCAGTGCTGAACGCAAACTGTCGAGATGGGTTGATTCCTGGTACCCAACTCCAGAGCGGGCAGCACCTCCAGTAGGGGTGTCAGAGACCCCAGTTTGCTCCCAGTGCTCAGCCCTGGCCTGTAGCGGCAGTGGGGAAAATTGAACAGGGACCGGAGAATGGTGGGCGAGTGAATAGGCGTCCATTCCTCAGCAACTTCTAGGGCATGGCCGCTGCTCTTCTCCCACCCCCCCATCACCATCACATTCTCCCCTCTTCTGTATCATTCCCCTCACTAAGCAAACTGGTGTACGAGTTCTCATCTTTAAAGGAATACTCTCTTGATCTCACATCCCTCTCCATCTCTCTTATTTATTTATTTATTTTTGTTGGGGGAGGTAATTTGGTTTATTTATTCAATTATTCAATTTTTTTTTAAACGGAAGTGCTAAGGATTGAATCCAGGACCTCCTGCATGCTAAGCACATGCTCTAACACTGAGCTGTACCCTCCCCACATCCTCCCATTCTCTCTTGAACCCATTCCAGCCAGGCTTTTGTTCCCAGCAGTCCTCTGAATTAATTCCCTCTTCAAAAGGTCTCTAATGACTTCCAGGTTATCAAATCAATGATGGTTTCTCAGCTTCCCTCTTACCCTGCCTAGGAGCAGCCCTGGTCCCAGTGTACTCCCTGTTTCCTGTAGCTTCATGCCTTCCTCCTGCCCCACTGACTGCTCCTTCACCACCCCCTTTGGCGGCTCCTCATTTGCTTCCCATCGTGGCCATCAGATCTTTCCAGTCTACACTCACTCTCTGGGACCCCATCCTGTCCTGTGACTATCAATAACACCTATGTCAAGGACTCCCAAGTTACAGGTCCAGTTCTCATCTTCTCCCCAAAACTCCAGACTCCAACATCCAACAGCCTGTCCAACCTCTACCTGAATGTCTGCTAGCTATCTCAAATTATTAAGTCCCAATTTAAACTTGTGATTTTCCCACCTCCCTAACTCCTTCCCTAACTCGGTTAAAAAAAACAAAGTAGCAACACCATTCATCTGCCTGGTCCAGTAAAAATTATGAAGTTTTCTTTCCTTTCTTTTCTGCCATACCTCAGATTCTGCAAATTCCACCTCCAGAATCTGTTCCACCCCTGGCTGCCATGGTTGTCCCTGACACTTGTCTGATGCCTGGACACCTTCACAGTCTCCTAACAGATCTCCCTGCTTCTACCGTTGCCCAGTCCTGGGTCTTCTCCATGCAGCAACCAAAGTGGAATTTTTAAAGCAGAAATCACACCACATCACCCTCAGCTTTTAGCATTCCAGTGGGCTGGCGTTGCACTTAAAAATAAAACTAAAGTCTTTCCGACTTACGTGACACTGATAAACTGGGTCCACCTCCCATCACTCTCCTCCTAGCTCATTCCGCTCCAGCCACGCTTACCTCCTCACCATTCCTCCAACACAGCAAGTGTAGTCCTGCCTCAGGGTCTTTGCACTTGCGGGGCTCCTGCTTCTTGATACACATTCTCCCAGATATTTTAAACAACAGGCTCTCATTGCATTTAGGGTTGCCTCCTCCTTCCTTGATCAGCCTACCTAAAACAGAGGCTGCTGGCCATCTCACTGCATCCTGTGCTGGTCCTTTATCCTGCTTTATTTTTCCTCACAGCACTTACCACCATTTGACATTCTATTAAGTGTTTATTTCTTCATGGCTTTTTGGCCCCATTAGAACGTCAGTCCTATGAGAGCAGGGGCATGTCTGACTTGTCCACCATTTCCCCAGTGCCTGCACACAGTGGATCTGAGTGAACAGATAAAGGAAGGATTGAGAAAGTGAAGCAGCAAATGAGCAAAGGAAGAAGGAGCAGCCTAGAGCTCCTGGCAGTCCTCCAGCAGAGAAGACCCCAGGGGGCCCATTCCTTGGCCTGGATGGAGCCTCCAGAGCTCCCTGCACAGGCACTCCCTGGGTAGGAACAGGCATTGGGCTAAGACACAGTGCCCCCTGGTGGTCAGGACACCTGCAGCTGCAGGCTGGGTCCCTAGAATTTTCCAAAGTCTTTCTCTTCCATGGTCTGGTTGGAACTTCACAAAATTTGCCATTTTGCGGCAAACAAAAAGGCTTAGATTTATAAGGAAAAAAACCAAGCCAGACTGGGGACCCAGAGTCCTGGGTTCCAGTTCTGGCCAAGACCCTGACTCCCTGGGTAACCTCCAGAGATTTACGGAGCTGGCAAGCGCTGGCTTGCCACTGTGGGGCTGAGGGGTCCTTGCTGCAGGCACCCTGAAGGAAACTCTTGTCCTTAGCTTGCTCTGTGGCAGGCAGCCTGATCAGGGAAAGACCTTACTTGTCAGAAGCATCTTCCATAAGTGGGGCTGAAATCTACCTCCCCGTGGCTCTAGCATCTTTCCAGGCTTCGTCTTCTGTGGCCACAGACAACCTGGGACAGCACTGCACAGAACTCCTGCCCCACAATCTTCCTTCACACATTACATTCAGAGATGCCTTTGAGACATCTAGAAGTCTAGTATGCAGCTGGATTCTTAAATCTAGAGCTTGGGAGAGATCTATGCTGAAGCTATACCTATAGGAGTTGGCAACATTTAGATGGGCCGTGAGACCTGGAGACCACCTTGGGTTACGTAGGACCGTGGTGCTCAACCTTGGGTGCCCACGACAATCACCCGGGGAACTGAAAAGAGTGGTGCCCAGGGCCCACCTGGACTGATGAAATTCAAGCCGCTGAGTGTGGGCCCAGGTATGGGCATTTTTTAAAGGCTCCCAGATGATTCCATGGGCAGCTAGGGTTGAGCAACACTGTCTGACGCCAGAACTCTGGCAGAGGAAATGCCAAGTCTGGGAAGGAGAGACCAGCAAGGAAGAGGAAAACCAAGTGAAGACCAGGTTTCAAGGAGGGGTGTGGAATGCAGCTGAGAAGCTGGGGATCCCAGGTCACAAAGGGAGTCCAGGTTGCTTTGTTTTGGGGAACAAGGAGATAGGTGACCCTGATGAGAGTGATGTAATGGAGTCATGGGGACCACCAGGAGACAGGAGTTGGTGGAAGGGAGATGGGAGATGAGAAAGTAGAAATCAGAGTAATCAACTCTTTTGAGGAGTTTCGCTGTGAAGAGGAACAGAGAAATGGGGAGGTGGGTGAAGGAGAAGGAGGGATCAGGGTAGGTTTCCTTTAAAGACGTGAAATTATGGAGCATGTTTGTGTGTGGCTGGAAATGATGATGTTGGTGAAGGAATTAACAGGAGGACACAGCTCAGTTTGCCAAGCTGTGGGGAGGTGAGAGGAGGTGGGAACAGATACTCTTCTGCTGTAGGGCAGGAGGGAGATGGTACAAATGTGGGTGCTCTTGTAGACGAGGTGGTGGGAAGCCAACGGTGTTCGCTTCTGTTGGCTGCCTCTTCACAAGTAAAAATGTAAGGTGAGAATGGTCAGGACTGGAGGGGAGAAGATATGAGGGTCTGGGGGAGGATAAAAGCAGCCACTTTGGAATGCAGGATCTCTGGGCAGCGTGGAGAGCCGACCTGTTTGAGGTTTGAGATCACATTGTTAAAGAGACTGCCATCTACTTGGTTATGTGAATTTCTCCTGCCTTGACACGGAAGACAGCTGGGTTCACCTGAGGCTGAGGACTTTGCTGGACAAATCGGATGAAAGTAGAGGAGAAGCTGAGGGGCTGATTCCATTGGTGGAGTGCAGACTCCAAGTTGGACAGGGATGGAGTCGTGAGCTGGGGTAGTGCAGATGGAAAGGGGTTGCTGTAGGTCGATGCGGCTGGATAGGAGCCATATAGGCGAGACTAGAGGAAGTGGGCTGGAAGGAGAGAAGGAGGTAGCCAGAGGCACACACTTGAAATAAGATTGCATCACTGCCAAGTGACGATAGGGTGTCATTGTCATAAAGATAACATTCAGGATGTGCCAACAGTGTGGGCAGCTGAGGCAGAGCTGAGGTCAAGCAGCCAGGAGGCCAGGTCCTTGGGGGCATGATGCTTGTGTGCATGGAGGCCCAGGGATGGTGACAGGAGCAGCATAAGGGAGGATAGTAAGGCAGGCACTAAAGTTTTCAGGAGACTCGTTATCTCCCTCTGGAATGTGGGCTCTTTGAGAACAGGACTGCAGCTATCTTGAACATGGCCATGTCCCCAGGGCCTGGCACAGAGCAGGCATGCGATAAAACTCAGATGAGGGGGAGGGTATAGCTCAGGGGTAGAGTGCATGCCTAGCATGCATGAGGTTCTGGGTTCAGTCCCCCGTACCTCCATCAGTAAATAAATGAATAAACAAATAAGTAAGTAAACCTAATTACCTACCCCCACAAAAAAAATAATAAAATAAAATAAAATTGTAAAATTAAAAAACAAAACTCGAATGAATGCATGCCTGGTGTGTAATTTGGTCTTTATCCTTGAAAGTTAAGATGGAGACTGAGGGCCAGTTCTCCCCAGAAATGTCTGTGCATTTCTGAGTCTCAGCGGGGAGTGTTTAGGGTGTGCAGGTCTTTGAAGTCCCTTCCACCTGCCCCTCCCTCACCCCAACTCCTCCCCAGCTAGGGCTTTCCGGCCCCTCCAAATCAGCCTCCACGCTGTTTCCCTAGTCTGGCTGCATCCCTCCGTGAGGATGAGACTAAGCTCACTGTTGGATTGTCAGGCCTCTTATGCTGGGCCAACCCTTTCCTCAGCCCCTTGTAGCCCTCTGGTCTATGATCTTCCTTCCTCTATGCACCCACCGTGCCCACCCTCAGCTTGGAAAGCCCTGGGGCTCACTGGCAGCCTGGTGAAGCTCTGCCTGCCCTTCACACTCAATTCAGAGGGCACCTCTCCCATCAGCAAGCCTCATTTCTCCCTCTCCCCAATTATCAGAGTCACCTTTGCTGCACGGGACCACTTGGATCTATAATTATCTGCACCCCACCCACCTGTTCAAGTGGACTCGAGCCGACTGGTGGCAGAAGTCAGGACCAGGTCATATGTATCCCCAGAACCCAGCACAGGGCCCTGGTGTTTGCTGCCACGCCTGTGACTGAGCGTCTGTGTGGACCCGTGGGCGCCACTGCCAGGAGCCCTACTAAGGAGGAATGGGCTGTGGCACACGAGGTGGGCTGAGAGGGGAGCTAAAGGGCTTTATTATTAGCAGATCTGTACACTATACACTGGGGGGCTGGCAGGGCACTTGAGGGGTCCTCCCCAGGCAGCTGGCCTTGTCCCCCCAGGCCAGAGTGGCTGTGGGGGTGTGTCCGCAGATATCCACGGCTTTCGCGCCCTCTTGTTCCAGGGAGAGCGCCTTCGTCTCCTCCCGCTGCCACGGGTCAGGGTCTGTCGCAGGGGGCCGGGCCCTTCCTCCGCTCCCGGCTCAGCAGCGTCACCAGCTTGGCCTTGAAGCCCGTGTGGGAGCCGGGGCAGGCGGAGCCCCCCGCCTCGT